GGGAGCGTTTCTGGGGGAGCAGGCAGTCTGCTCGACTCCACTCTCCTGTTGCAGGCATCAGGAAATGCACGTGCCAACAAGATGCTGCAGGTGATCGCAGGGGAGTTGATGCTTCCCAGCCAGGGGGGAACACATAGATCCTTTCATTTGGTATCCCTGGGGGGACCAGGTGAAGGGCTTTGCCCAGTTTTGTCCGTATTTAGGCAGCACATCCCACAAGTTCAGGTTTCTCTCCCAGAAAGCCCTCACTCCTCGTTTCAAAGCACAAGCCCTGAAGAATTCACCTTTCTCTGGGTGACAGGGACCTTTAGTTGGCCGCCCACATGCTGAAAAGGATGTGCCTGACCTTGTCCTCCAATTGCTGGCTCACATCATATCATGCCTGTCCGACTATATCAGAAAACTACTTAGTATCGAGACACTTTTCCTCCGAAGGCATTTATACCTGGAGCATGCCGGTTCCTCCCTACCCCATAAATTTTTGGGATGCTCACTTGCACTTAGGAGGAATTTGGTGGTAGGACATTTTCACTGGAGAATCTTAACCCATCTAGACCCGTGCTCCTGCCTTGGCCAGGCATGCTAGAGTCAGACAACTGGCGGCGAAATACTGCTGATACTTCTGCTGATACTACTGATACTGAACTTGCTGATATATCAGGGAGTATCACGCCCCACAATACCCACCCCACCTGTTTCAGTGATGTCCAGTCTAAGGTATGGGTGTCCATTTGCCATGCCAGGACAGAGGGGCAGCAGACATGGCTTTCCTTGTCCTCCACCAGCATAAATCGGGTTCAACCCCAGAGCAGTTGCCCGAGGTCCTGCAGCCCAAGATACCAGCTCTGAGAGTGACCAAGGTGTACGAAAGGAGGCACATACAGAATATTTCTCCAGGTACATGCTCCTGATGGCTGGCAAGCAGCTGAGATATTTCTCCCAATCCAATGGCTGTACCTGCAGCCCTGCACTAACAGCCCTTGGTGGACTTTTTATGCACAAATTTCTCTAATGGGTTTTTGAAGCCATTTATAGTTTTGGCATCCGCAACATCCTGTGGCAAGGAGGTCCACAGTTTAATTACATGTTTTATGTAAAAGCACATCCTCCTGTTTAAGGCCTCTACCCAATCATTTCACTTTTTTCTCTAGCTGTGAGACACAACAAATAACTCTTCCCTACCCTCCTCCACACCACACAGGGCTTATATACCCCACTTAGATACCTCCTCAGCTCCTTCTCTCCCAGCCTGAAGGGTTTAGACGTGCACCTCTATGAGCCAATGCCAGCTGAGGGTAAAGCTAGGTCCCACTCCATTATACACTTCCCAGATACAATACAGCCTCCATGACATATCATAGAATCACAGACTGGTTTGGGCGGGAAGGGACCTCTAAAGGCCATCTAGTCCAACCCCCTGCCATGGGCAGGGACATCTTCACTAGGTCAGGTTGCTCAGAGCCCCGTCCAACCTGGCCTGGAATCTTTCCAGGGATGGGGCATCCACCACCTCTCTGGGCAACCTCTGCCAGGGCCTCACCACACTCATCACAAACAATTTCTTCCTTCTATCTAGTCTGAATCTCCCCTCTTTTCAGTTTAAAACCATTACCCCTTGTGCTATTGCTCCAGGCCCTGCTAATACATCTGTCCCCCTTTCTTCTAAGCCCCCTTTAAGTATGGAAAGGCTGCAATAAGGCTGCAGTTATGCTGCAATAAGGTCTCCCCCAGAGCCTTCTCTTCTCCAGGCTGAACAACCCCAACTCTCTCAGCCTGTCCTCTGACCTTTTTTGTGGCACTCCTCTGATAGAGGCTTCATTCCTGCTCAGACATGAGGAGCTCCAGCAGATACGCGAGGTGATGAAGCTGCACGGGCTGTGTTCAGCTAACACGGCTGTCTGTCCCCAAAGAGCCAGCTCAGGTCCTGGGACCACAGCAGCTCCGACTCACACTCATGTCACCAACACAGTTTCTGGGTGCAATAGGGGCATTTGGCCACGACAACCCTGAAACAGAACAAGGAGCAAACCAACCTTACAGGATGTCCATGGGGAGTGGAAAGAAAAGCCCAGCACTGAACTCAGCTCCTTTAGCAGCCTGTCATCTTTCACAGCAGATTGTACTTCCATTCCCTAAGGATTTCCTTGAAATCATCTCATAGATCTTCCCACCTAACATTAGCAATAGAATTTCCATTGCAACACAACCAAATGCAGGCAATTCACTCCTCTCACCTTGCATTTTTAAAAGTAACATGGTACAATAAAACAGCCTGCCTGGATTCCAGCCTAATCTAAAAACAACTTTATGGCTTCTAATTTTAGCACTAATCTTCCTTTGCTATGGTTGTGTGATTTCTAATTATTTTATCCCCAAGCCTTGCTTTGACGGATAGTTGTACCTTTTCCAATGCCGAGTGACTCGTAAAGTGCCTTTAAAAAATACGCTGATCATTTCAGGTTCATTTCCAGTTCCTACGCAAATAATATTCTCATATATGGCTTCACTGGGGAAATATTATTATTATTAAAATAATAATAATAAAAGCAATACAATTTAAAACGGAGAGCTCTGTTTCTTAGGACAATCCCAATCTGATCCTGCAAACACCATATTTTCTCTTAAAAGTTGTTAAGGAGTATGAATCCGTTATCCAGATATGGATCTCTTAATAATTCAGTGCCTTTGGCTTGGCATCGCTCCCAGAACACTTTGCCTTTATCTATCCTTATTTTCAGGTTACAACACATCAAAGAGCAACCGGCCATGCTGAAACCTCTGGGGGACTTTGTGAGGGACAGTGCAAAGTGGTGGCAGAGGAGTGCTTGCCTTGACGCTCCCTGGGAGCGTTGCCTGTCCAAATTCTCTGAATTTATGGCAGCAAAGTTCAGCTATCGGCTGAAGATGTGTTGCAGGGGCTTAGGATGAGCCTCCAGCCCAGGCTCCTCAACAGGTAGATATTTTCTCTCCTACCATGCTCACCTGAAGCAACCTCTTGATCCTCCTAATCACTAATCTAGATCAAATCTAGCTCTGATACTCTTAAATTTGCACAAAATAATTTACTGGGGAGAGGGTGCTGCTTGCAGAACATTTTGGGATGCCACTGCGTTGCCGGTCCTAGGAGCCCCTGCCACCAGCAGCCAGCACCAGGGTGGGGAATGCAGCCACAGGGCTGGTGGATGTTTGGTGGGTTATTTCCTTCCCTGGGATCTACACTGCACTCCGGTCAGTTGGAAAACATCCATCTGACCTGTGACATTTTTGTTATAGTTACTCTCCAAGCTTTGACAGCAGTGGTTTAAACACGGAGCATATGAGCTTTGGCACCAAGAAAGCACACCATCCCCACAAATACAGAGTGGACGGGGAAAAATATCACACCGCAGCCCTGATGGTGAACATATTTCTTCTTTTTCATTCTTCATTTCCTCTCTTTCACTTTCTGAGCCTATTTCACCATGCGTGTCTTCTCCCTCCCCACTGGAAATGTGAGCTTAGCTCCTCACCACCTCCTCACCACCCACCGTAATATTCAAGAGAGAAGGATATGGGTTGGTTTGTTGTTTTTTTGGGGGTTTTTTGTTTGTTTTTTTTTTTTTTAATTCCTTGCACAATGCTGTGTATAGAGTATTTGAAATGGAGATTGTCCAAACAGGAAACAACCCAGTCAAAGTCCTCAGGCCTGGGTCCTCAAAATGTCACGGTACAGAGCTGCAAGGGATGGAGAATAGCCCTCTGTTCCTGCACAGATGGGAGAGCAGCCAGAGACTCAGCCTGCCCTCACACCACCCCGATCTTGAGAGCTGGGATTTAACCTCTGCCGAAATCGGCGGGAAGCTGGTTTTTATGAACCAATTTACTGGGGGAAAAAAAATACGACAGACGGGGTTAACAGTTATAACCCTCTGTTGACCGATACTCTTATCAGTATAGAGAATTCCATAGGGAATATCATCTCGCTCAGGATGTGAATCCTACAGGAAATCCTTCATCCTTAGTGTTTCAGAGTAACATCCAGAGCATCCTGCTGGCTTCCTTTTTACTCCTCTTAAAACTCAACCCTGAGATTCTTGCTTCTCAGGCTCATGCTCTGAGTTTGAGCTGACCTTGCTGGACTGGAAGAACAAACCTTGGGACAAATCCTGTCAGTGCCCACACCCGGGCAAGGGACTGGGCTGTCGCTGCTGCTCTATGAGGGTGCAGAGCAGGGCACTGCTTGGTCCTAGCCTTTTTGATTTCCATCTATACACCTTGGAGCAAAGATTTAGTTTCTCAAAGGCACAGTGAGGCCAGGTTTGGAGAAGAGAATGTAGCTGCTGTGAACCTGGATAAATAAGATTTGCACAATTTATTTTTCTCCAGAAAATAGTTTCTAGATTTATTTTAAAAAGCAGGGTCCTGCAGCTGTAGGTTTTGAGCCCTTCTTAAAAGTCTGACCTGAACAAGCATCCTTGCCAACAATTATTGGTATTTTAAGCCTTTGATTGCTTCTGATGGGAGTGAAAGCTTTTTGTTTGTTTGTTTATTTCTTTTTACAGCTTTCTGCAAGTTAACTTCAGGAGAACTTCCCAAGCAGAATTGGTGGTGACTATTTCCAGAACAGTGATCCAGCAATTCAGGTTTCCCAGAGAAGTGGTGGATGCCCCATCCCTGGAAACATTCCAGGCCAGGTTGGACGGGGCTCTGAGCAACCTGATCTAGTGAAGATGTCCCTGCCCATGGCAGGGGTTGGACTAGATGGCCTTTAGAGGTCCCTTCCAACCCAAACCAGTCTGTGATTCCCCCTCTGGAAACAAAGATGTATTGTTCTAGTTTTGAAGGGAAAATGGTTTATTATTAGTAGTGTCAAGACACTGATCTACAGAGCTGCAACCTTCAGGGGGTGAAAAATCCATGGATTCATGGTATGGACAGCTAGGAATGTCATTTCAGATGGTCTGCATAGCTCAGAAAATCAAATTTCACTCATTAACCAGGCAGAGAATGAGAATAATTACCTAGGGCCTGATCCTGAAAGGTCCTGCGTGCAGTCGCGTGGTCTCCACTCCCATAGAGTTCAGTATCTCAGGGGCTCTCAGCAAGGTCAGCCTTGTAGCCTGGGCAAAACAAGATAGGTCAGTTTTAGTCCGGTCTTTTGTAAAAAAAAATCTATACAACCTATAATTAAAAAAATAAATCCCAGCTCCACGTGCCATCCCCGTATTCTTGTATGGAGAGCTAACACAAGGGTGGTGCAGAGAGCATGGCTGGGGAGATACTCTCCAACCCACAGGTATTCTCAGCAGACCAGGGATGGATGCCTGCAGCACACAGGAGAGAAACTACACCGGGATGGATGTGTCCATAGAGCTCCAGTCCACATCCAGGAATAACAAAATTATATTCCTCAGCACTAGTGCTTTATCCCAGCCATCACACGGGGACATGAACACTGCCAACCACCATCCTGGAGCTATCACACCTCCCTGGAAGAAGACAAACTCTAGGGTTGCCTTGCCCAGTCTACAGGAAGTGATAATCCTGGAGATAAGAGAATTTTGCCAGGTTTTCAGGGAGGGAGCCCAGGAACAGCCCTCCATGCTCCCCGCTGGCTGGTGGTGACGTGTGGCATGCCAACTCTGGGTGGGCACAGCCGTGCCAAGAGCAGGGTGAAGGGAGGGAAGAGGATGACGGGGACAGGATGACGGCACTTTTCTCCATACGGCCCTTTGTTTTGGGAGGTCCCCCGAGATGCTCAGCTCAGGGTGGCCAAGTCCTCCTTCTTCTTCCCCTATAAGGGGAACGGATGAGGGGAGGAAAACAATGCTCTCTCTTCAGTTGCCTAATGGAAGAACAAAAGCACAGTGATCCCTTCCAAAAATGTCTTTTGAGGAACAGACGATCAAGCCTGAAGGCCCAGTATTTCTGGTTTATTTATTTTTGGATGAACTCCAGCCTGGCAGCGTCTTTCTGTCCTTCCTCCAGACTCTTGCAGGACTTGCCCAGAGCTGCACGGATCACGCAGGCCTTGCACAGACCCCAGACCCATCCAGCACCTTGTAGAGGTTTCTCCACCAGACCCCACCACAAGTAAGCCTCAGCCACAGGGTGGAAGGGACAAGGGGGCATCACCCACCCATAGCTCTGGTCCAGAGGGATGCGTTTGGCAGGAAGGGTCTGCCCCACCCAGATCCCACTGGAAACTGGGACCAAAACCAGTGCAAAACCAGAATCAGACCTTTCATTGCTCAGTGGCAGTGGCTGCTACAAGCAGAAGGGGATTTCTACTATCCTGATTGCTCATGGAAAGTCCCTGACTGGCCCACAACCATGGAAAAAATGGAAAATATAACTTTAATACCAAGTCGGTGGCAGGCTGTCTATTTTTCTCTCCTGTGACTAGTTACCATGGATAGATTTCTGAGGTCGACCATGCAATTGTTCACTGCACTGCTCCTATTAAACAGAAGATGAGCAACTCATCCCATTTGTACTGTACTTTAATTTCCAGAAATTCTTTGTTCATTTCTTTGCTTAAATTATTTCTCTCATTTAAAGAAACAATGCAGTCTTACAAAGCCAGGGCCCAAATCTCTCGAGTAACCCTGCTGTGGTTCATTACTTCCATGCTAGTTAACAAGGCCAGTAATTTCCCTAAGGTTTAATAGAAAATCTTCTTTCCAGAATGCAGAAAGGCAGGACTTTTTTAACAAACTCACTACTGTACTCCAGTTATGTCACAGGTGAGGGATATCTTAGGCAAGGCACAGGTCCTCCTTAGGGATAATGTATAAAAACAGGTACCCTAAATGGAGATGTTGTTCACCCAAAGCTACCCCCTCAGCTGGGGAAGGGGACCTGGGGTTCCCTGTCTCTCTGCTGAGCCTTGCCTTGCTCAGAGCATCAGCTCCAGCTCTGCTTGGCAATGGGTTCCCGAAGCATTCCAGTCCGCATCCCAAAATGCAGACTGGTTTATCGCAGCACACTGGGATGAAGTAGATAATACTGGAGGGGCAAATCCGAGATATCCCTGGGGTGGGTGTGCTGGGAGAGGTGGGCACACAGCCTGTTTTACTAATTATACGAAATGCAAAGTAAACGGGACACCTGCCAATTGCCTGACTCTAAACTGCCCTCCTCATTAGTTTTAGAGAGGGCTCTCTTTCCATGACCAAATCAGAACACCTTACAAAAAATTAAAATAAACACAAGACTGAGCTTGTGGAAAACAAGAAAATCCATAAACCATATACATGTATATGTGTATATATATATATATATATATAAACCAGCACAGTCAAGCTCTATCAAGACACACATGCAGGTGAGCATATGCATCCTATGCTGGGTGAGAAGCTGGCAGTGCTGCCTTCACTTCTACGGGCTTTTGCCCTAGAAGTGTCTCTGTAGCTCCTTAGTATAATTTATACAATGAGTTTTGCAGGCAATAGCTACAGATGTTTGCAGGGAGTCTCCTTGGTGATAATATTGCATGCCTGGGTGTGCTGGGTTTGTGTGCTGGGTTTTTGGTAGCGGAGGAGGAGCTGTGGCCCCTGTGAGAAGCTTCTTGAAAGTTCCCCCGGCACCAAGTCTGACCCATCTCTGGCCAAGGTCGAGCCAATTAGTGATGGTGGCTGCACCTCTGTCATAACATATTTAGGAAGGGGAATCTGGGAGGAAGAGTTGGAGTTGTGAGGAGGTTAGGTGAGGGACACCTCTGCAAACACTAAAGTCAGTGGGAGGAAGGAGGGGGAGGTGTGTCCGAGCAGGGAGCCCTCCTGTATCCCGTGGTGAGAGGCAGGGCCACCCCCTGCACCCATGGGAGTCACTGCTGGAGCTGATGCCAACCTGCATCCCGTGGAGGACCCCACACCAGGGCAGGCAGCTGCAGTTAACAAAGGCCAGGACTCTGTGGGAAGAACAGCCCCTACTGTCGTAGTTCAGTGCTGGGAGGACCCACGCCAGAGCATCTCAGAAAGCTCAGCAGCCCGTGGGAGGGACTCATGTTAGAGAAAGTTCATGGAGGACTGTCTCCCGTGAGAGGGGGACCATGCTGGAGCAGGTGAAGAGTGTGAGGAGCCCCTGCTCCTCGAGGTGGAAGAAGCAGTGGACTGACTGCACCCCCCATCCACTGCCCCTGCCTCACTGCAGAGAAGGAGATGGAGATATCAGGAGCAAAGCTGAGTCCAGGAAGAAGGGAGGGGTGAAAAGAGGTGGTTTTTAAGATGTGGTAATTCTCACTGTCCCACTCTGCCTGTTAAATGGTCTTGTCTTTAGTGTTTGAATTACATTCATATTCTTTTTTCTTCCCCTGATGAGTATGCCTTTTGCCCATGACCATAATGGCTGAGTCATCTCTCCCTGTCTTTATCTCAATTCCTGAGCCTTTTGCTTTATTTTCTCCTCCCCAGCACTGGGGGGAAGAAGGGAGAGAGTGGCTGCATGGTGCTCAGCTGCCCTCTGAGCCCAGACCACAACACTGGAACAGTTGAACAAATCATACCACGTAAATAATAAATATATGGCTTGGTTAATCTGAAAGAGGCAGCGAGCAATCTGAAGATTCCCACAGACTCTCTGCCGCGAGGAAGGAAACAACAAAATGCCCTGACCTAAGCAGGGGTGAGTCTCACATACACACAGATCACAGGGAGATCACAGGAGCTGTTTGCAGATCACTTACCAATCATGAATAATTCAAGCAGAAGCGGCAGGAAGTATGAGAACAGATAGATGGGAGCTCACCACTGCTGCTTTGGCAGGTTGTATTTTATTGAGCAAGGAAAAAAAAAATGAGTCCCAACAAAAATCCTTAGCCTAGCATCGCCAGTTTCATGACTTTTCTGTGAATCTCAGTGATATACAGTGCTCTACCAGATCCCCAGATGAGCACCCTTTCCCTTTCTCCTAAAGCCAGTTTTGTGATTATTTGGCTGGGCAGGTGGCAGAAAAAATGATGCATTTAAAAAAAAAACTTTTAGTACCTACCAGCAGTCCACTGCATAATTACACAAACCACAGAATCACAGAACGATTTGGGTTGGAAGGGACCTCTAAAGGCCATCTAGTCCAACCCCTGCCATGGGCAGGGACATCTTCACTAGGTCAGGTTGCTCAGAGCCCCGTCCAACCTGGCCTGGAATGTTTCCAGGGATGGGGCATCCACCACCTCTCTGGGAAACCTCTGCCAGGGCCTCACCACACTCATCGTAAACAATTTCTTTCTTCTATCTAGTCCGAACCTCCCCTCTTTTAGGTTAAAACTATTCCCCTTTGTCCTATCACTGCAGGCCCTGCTAAAATGTCTGTCCCCATCTTTCTTCTAAGCCCCCTTTCAGCCCTGGGAGGCCGCTTTAAGGTCTCCCCGGAGCCTTCTCTTCTCTGGGCTGAACCCCCAACTCTCTCAGCCTGTCCTCACAGGGAAGGGGCTCCATCCCTCTGAGCATCTTTGTGGCCTCCTCTGGACCCACTCCAACAGGTCCATGTCTTTCCTGTGCTGAGGATTTCAGAGCTGGACACAGTACATGAAGCACCCACCAACAAAGAAAAAGTGTTTCGTTTGAGGGTTCACAACAGCTATCAACTTCCAGGCCTCCTCCTCCACCCAGAGACCTCTCTGGGAAAAGACATGGCACTCAGAGATGGGTTTACAGCCTTCAGGCTCCTCTGCCCTTGGCAGAGCTTGTGCTTCAGTGGGGTTCAGCTCTGCAGGGGAATGGATGGGGAAAAAAGGTGCCAGGGAGGAGGACAGAAAAGAGAAGAAACCAAAAAAGGGGGAAAAGAAGAAGGGATAAGGGATATTCTCTTATCCTTATTCCCAAAGGAAAACACAAGTAGGATTGCTCCTGTAGGGAAAGGTTAGTAGCCCAAATCCAACACATTATCAGGAGGACCGTAAGCCTGTAAACAAACAAAAAACCCATGAAAAAAAAGGTAGAAATGGTAAAGACAGATGATGGAATCAAACATAGCTTTGGTGCGACCTGAAGAAATCCCAAACTCCTTCCCCTGAAAGCACACTGCCATGTATTGATTACCAACAGGAAGACCCTTGTTGTCTAGTGTCGAGGGGCAGCTCTCCCATGTGAGGTCTGAAATGGGGCACCTGGGCTGGTGACTGCCCCCTGAGCTTGGGGACACCTCATCCCTCAAGAGCTGGAGGTGTCAAGGAGGGACTGGGCAGAGAGGACCTTGCCTTAGCAGGATTTCCAAAGGTCCCTGCTGGAGAGACATGCTCCACCACTGCTGACACCCTTTGCAAATTCCTGCCCTTCATCTACACGTGCATCACCCTGATTCCATTCACTCCTCTGCACTGTACTACTGCCAGGCCTGGATTTGGCCCCAAAACTGCACACCAAGCTCCTCTCCAGCTGAACTGGAAGAAAACTGCTGTGCATATTGATGACACACCAGGTCACAGTCCCCTCACATAAAACATATTCCTTGATGTTGCATGAAACATATCTGATTCAAAAATGACAGTGACAGTAAGACATTCACCCAAGATCACACCACAAAAGTCCCAATAAATTTGGTTCCCAGGGTAAAACCAGGTAGGAAGCATCCAGGCACCCCATGCTAGCTGTGACCTTTGATGTCACCAGCAAACAAGTTTACACTTTCAATTTGTCCTTGAACATAAAAATATTTACTCTATCCACACCTTCTCCCATTCTTCAACCACCTAAGATTAATCTTCTGTGTTAAAAGCATCCTTCAGCACCACTGCATGTAGCATCTTTGATGTAGAAAGCTCGGTCTGCAAGTGACATCTCAATGATGTCTACTACACATGCTCTATTACCCACATTAAGAAAATTCACTTCTATCTTTAGCATAAACTGAATATCTCTGGTAGAAAACCTGTTTACTGCCAAGAGCTAGAGAGGCCTTTATAGACCGAGTGCAGGCCACACATGACACATCTCTGCATTACCCCAAAATAATCATTTGGCCGTGCACTGCATCTGATCTTCAGGGCTCTAGGTTCCCCACCCTTGGTTTTTTTTTCATTTCATGTAGAAAAATTAACTAATTAATACATGTCTTGCAGATGTTCTTTGAAAGAGATACCGCATCTTCAAAACACAAGATGATGAAAGGAGTAATCGAGTAGATTAGACTGACCAGAAAAGCAAAGATTGTAGCATGACAGTGGAAAGCACAGCTCTAAATCTTTCTCTGATATTTATGATGGTTTTATTTGCATATCAAACTACGTGCCAATTAGCTGTATATAAATCTATGATGAAATTATGCCGTGTAGCTCTCCAAAGTGAAGAAACGCCAGGGCTGGGCTGCATAATCACCCTTAACTCTGACCCTCCAGGTGTTCCCATTCTAGCTCACTCCTAATGATCATGTACTGTTTCTCAATAACACAACTGAACAATGTGCGTCTTTTGCAACCATACAGATGCACATGCAAAATTTCCATCTACTATATGCTACTTTGTGTGTGGTGGGACCTCAGCATCTCCTGTGGCCAATTCAGGGTCATTATTTTTTCATTCTCCTCCAGCTAGTAACATCTGCCTGCTGCCCCTTGTCTGATATCTCTTTAGGGCAAGCTTTGGCTCTGCTGAGGCTTTGCGCAACCCCGTAGGAAAGCAAGGATCCTACCTGAAGACCTGTGCATGGCACTGGGATGCAAACAACAATAGAGACACATGCCCTCATTTTACATATCAACAGGAACACGGGGAAGCAACAGGTTGGTAGGGAAGCAGCACCACCTGCCTCAGGTGTGCACTGGAAGGGGTGTGCACTTGCTGCCAAACTAGACACCTCAGTGAGGTCTTTGTGCTCTGCTAGACATCTGCAGAAGGCAGCACGCAAAGCAGGAGCCTATGCCTCCACCTGCAGTCACAGTCAGCAACGGTCACGGCCAGCACTGCCTGAAAACTGGGCCAGGCACCTGACCCATGCAGGCAGGGAAAGGTCTAGGGAGGAGGAGTCCTGGAGGGGCAAGCAGTGCTGGTGCTCCACATGGCTTTGTCTAGACGAGGAACCCTGGTGAGGGTCCCTGTACAAATAAACCAGGTAGCTACATGATCCCAGTCCATCCCAACACCTGGGTTCAGTGGTTCTACTCCCTCTTAATACTTGGAATTGAAAATAAGACTTAATAGATCATGTACTTTTGACAGTTATGGCCAAGTTATGTCCCCCTCCCTCTCTCACTCCCTTCACCGACCTGCCTCTTTTACCCTAGGACAGCCACATGACCTCCCATGATGTTCTATATACATGTAGACCACTGGTCAGGAGCAAGTCCCTAAGACCAGAACCTCTACTCCCTCTCAGTTCCCTTCTACTGGGATACCTAAAGGAGACTGATTCTTCACAGCCTTACAATAAAACAAACAAGCCATCAGCTGAGTCAACTGCTACAACGGGCAACCACAGTACTCTTACGATTACTGCCAGCCTCCCTTCACTCACCTAGGGCCACCAAATTAAACTAACAGGAAGTTCAGGACAAGAAAACAGAGATGGTTTCCCTGCAGCAGATGGTGGATCCGTACAACTTCTTGCTGTAGGACTTGCAGGAACAAGCGTGCGTGACCTTCAGGAAAGACTGGATGATCCACTGGGATTAACAAGCAGACGCACCACTACAGGATCAGGCAACCCCGTCACTGGAAACAGGTCTTCTTATGACCAATTAGACCAAGAGAAAGAGCCTCATACCACACTTCTTGCCATTGGCACCATGAGTATTTGGTTTGCATGTGACTCATGAATCCAAGCAAGGGCAGCTCCACTGCATGTTAGGCCCTGAACAGAGATACATCAAAAGTGCCCACCTCAAATGGGTGGGACAGACACGTCATGGGAGGTGTTTTATTGGTGGGGAAGTGTCACCGTGTAAGAGATGCTGCACAGACAAGCTGTGCCCAGGGTAAGAATCAAGCCTTGATCTCCTGAGCCCCCTCCCAGTTTCTAATAACAGCCTTGTCCTTTGTTGTTGATAGACACTGGTCCTGACTGCATCCCCTGTAGCTCATACACCAATGTATGCCCTGGTGGCAAGTGAAAATGTTGGACATCAATGGAGGAGCAGTAAGTCTGTGAGATAGCCAGAAATCCCAGACGTGCTCTACTCTACAGCATTTGACGTGTGTAGGACACACCACTGAAGGGAAGCAACACTCTTGTTCATGCACTCACAAAGTTATTTACCTTCTTGGTGTTCTTGTGATGCCACTTCTGGATTGGGATCAATATTAACCACTCTGAGCTTTCCCCACAGACATGCTACCAAGTAGGTCTTCTTTCAGACATAAACAATTCCTAGAAATGATGTGAAGGGGAGCAAGGAATGAGCCTGTACTCCTGAGGACCACTTTTTTTTTGGCCCAACAGAGGTAGCACGTTTGACGAATTTGAGCGATTAGGCACATATTCAGATATAAAATATTAAGATGAGAACAAATCAAAGGCAGCTTGGCTGGCTGGGCTCCTGCTTTGAATTCATTACATATATATAAAAATAAAAAAAAAACCCAACCTCACAAACGTTTCATCTTTTCAAGTACGTATGAAAAGGTACAAATTCTTGCCCAACTGCAGCACTTGGCCTCTCTGTGCTGGTAATTGGAACCAGTGTGCTCCGCTTCCCGGGCGTCCCATTCACAAGCACGAGAAGGAAGCATTCAATTTTTCAATAGGAAATTTCATCGCTGGAAAACAATCCACCTTCCTTGCCTCCACAGAAAAGACGGAGGGCGAGTTCTCTCCTCGACCACAGCGTCAGCTTACTGCCAGCCCTAGCCAGAGCTACTGGGGCTGGGGCGGGGTGGGGGCAGGAGGCAGGGCTGCACCACCGACTGCTCAGACCATCCCAAAGCCATGAGGCTGCCTTCAACACTGCGGGCTCGGTCCTGGTTTTTTTCTTCTAAACGCATTGAGTTCTTTCCTTTTCCTCTGGGATTGCTCAGAGGTTCAGTTTGCAATGTTTCTTTCCATAACGACATGGGCTAAACAAGTCCAGATTTTGTCATGACAGTTCTCCTTAGATCTTTAGTTTTCCACCCAATTACAGAACTGGAACTTCATGGAAAGCACCCGGGTGTATTCAAGGGCCACACTAACATACAAGGGGAAGTTTTGCACAGGGATTTTCTCAGAAACAGAGCACAATTTAAGTGATTTTTTTTTTTTACAAGCCCAGGATACCCCCAGCCATACGGGACTGAGCAAAAATCACCTTACACCAACAGCTTCTTTTAATAGCATTTTTTTAACTTCTCTTTCATTCTTAAAGCTGCTGCCCTAGCAAAGAGTTTAGTAAGGCTTCAAGGCCACAAAAATCCCTGAGAAACTCCAGCAGGACTCAAGAAAACCAACCAACAGGCAAAGAGACTAAGCAGTGCAATGGCAGAGGAAATGCAGCACCGGCCAACAAAAAAACAATGGAAAACAACTTCTGACAGTGGTTGCTGTAAGGATCAAGTTTCAGGATTAAACAGACTCAGAAGCAAGCACCCTGTGCTTCTGTATGCACGGTGCAAGTTTTAAAATGAAAATTTACTTCTACTTTTAAAACTTACTTGAAAAGTTATTTTCTTCCCTGTTATTTATGTATTTTAAAGCATGAATTAGTTCCCACTGTAATGGCTTATTTCTTTAGGTACCTATAGACGAGATGCATTCTGCAGCCTTCTCTGCCTGCTTTTTGAGCCATCCCTGGGACAGAGTTGGGAGAGGCAGGATTCCCTCCATCATGCAGTCTTGATGCCTTCCTCTATCACATCACATCACATCAGACCCACGACCAGAAGGCTGGACAAGAAAGCAATCATATGTAATGCATGACGGAGTTCCTCAGAAATACACCAAATTCTATCTTTACACCTCTTTTCCCCTAATGTCTCTAGAAAAAGGTTGTCACAGAGCAGTTCTTAACCGATACATGGAAAGAACATTTTCTAACCCCAAATACAGCATCATTAGGGGACTTCTAGCCATACTTAGGGTACTTTTAGCTTTCATGAACTGGTTGGCAAAGTGAATTTTCAAAGCAGACTGGTGTGTGACTGGGAGGGCAGACCTGGACCAATAACTGATGGCACAAGGGGCAGGAGACAGGCAGACAGGTGAAGCTGAGGGCAGCAGCTGGAGCAGAATAAGGAAAGCTTAGCACAAAGTCAGTATGGAGTCACATGGACTGTTGAGTATTTGGGGATATTTTGGGCAATGGGGGCACTTTTTGTTTCTTCACTCCAGTAGGAGATCATGCTTTCTCCCCAAGAAACCAGGGTACAGTTCCCCCAAGTCTGTGCTGAGTTAGGCATAGGATGCCTTACACAGGCCTGACAGAAGACATAAAGACTATAGCATCAAAGTACTGAAAGAGTCCTTAAGGAGCCTTCTGGTTCATCCCTGGCCCAAAGCTGGGATCCACAAGGATGCACAGGGCATGCTTGTCTAATTCAGGACTGCTGAGGATGGACCCACAGCACCGACAGGCCCTTGGTGTTTCACCAGTCTTTTCTTTCGAGATACTTTACTGCCCAAAGGATCTGCTTGCAATGTGAAGACCCTTCACTGGGCCCTACTAACTTCTCAACAAGCCAAGAAAGTCAGGCAACACTTTATCTCTGCTGGGCTTGATCCCAGACTTGACACACAAGGCTTGGACCATCCTGTTGGAGTCAAACTCCCAGCACTAATCCAGACCCTGAACACCAGAGTTTATCATTCTCCTTGAACACCAAGGATTCCGCTAAACCCCAAGAAATTTTGGAACAAATGAAATGCAAGCATCTATTTTTGCAGGCCAGGATCACCTTTGTTGAGCCGCCACCAAAGGTTTTCCTGCAAGTCATTAACCACCACGGCCAAAACGCATTTCACCTTGCTCCTCTCCTGCCACTTCAAGGCAGGATGGCAGCACTTGAGCTGCTGCAGCGCTGATTGTCCTATTGTTCCACAAAGTGGATCCCCTCCAGCAAATTGAACACCGAGAGCCATCAGAGAGAGCCCCGGACAAAGAGGCCAGTGTCTGTTTCTGGGATTATTAGAGAGAAGCAGAAAGAAGCCTCTTCATGGCACTTAACATGACAGCTGAAAATAATGGATAGGACAAAACAGAGTAAAGATGATTTAAATTAGGCAACTCCCGGAAAGTGGTGTTCATTTAGGCTTCCAAAGGAGAATTGCCATTTCTTAGAAATGCTAACGCTCGTGTCTATGTGCACTCCCCCCGCTTTGCAGCGTACACACACACACACACACACACACACATCCTTTTTTAGATGCCCTACAAAGCATTTGTTCAATCTGCCAGTGGACACTGCATCCCTTCCATTAGGAGATGGAAAAGGTGTAGATGAGCAACATTAGCTGCAGCTCATCAATCCTGAAACAAAAACAGCCTTTAATTTCTAACCCCTGCCAAAAGTTTACATATATACGTTCCAGAAACCATTTCACAGCTTCTCCAAAGTCACCTGGAGGAGAGGAGCCTCAAAAATGACAGAGGTTTTGAAGAAACTTTAGTGCCATCTCATGCCAGTCCCATCTTGGAGGGATCCATGTGGGGCTCATTTTAAGAGGCACGTCCCATCTATACAGATCACCTTGCTCTCGCTCTGGCACCTCGCCCAATGCTGTCTGGCAGCACCCTTCAGGATTTACCCCTCTTCTGATGCTATGTCTTCTGCCAGGGCTGGAAGCAAGGCATTTCCCAGTGGCCCCGGGCACCTGAGATCCAGGCAGATCTCTCCCCCTTCACACTCTCCTGTGGCTGTCACTCCTGTTTTACTCAGAACATGAGCTTTGGGACATGATTCCCCATCTGGGAGCATGATGAAGAATCACCCCAGAGTCCCAACTCCTGCTTGCTTTGGTCCCTAGAAGTGTAATTTCATTCCCTCACCCTCTCTTTGAGAAGGCAGTGATGCTCAAGCCATTCTCAGTCTGGCTAGGAAAGCAGGAGAGCGGTGGGGAGACACACGCGTTGCACAGGGTGAATTAGCAAGCTGTCTGGTTTCGATAGATTTGCTTATGCTGTGGCAGCAATCTGTCTTTCCAAGCACAGCACTTTCGTTTTATGACCTGAAACACCATGCAAAGCAGCTCCTGAGCATCTGAGGATGCAGCCCAGCCAACCCTGCCCTCATCACTGCAATGGATAAAAAGCGTGTTTCAAATGGGCTCCCCGTGCACGGAGCCCTCTGCCAGCACCTTTGCAAGGATGGGTGCTTCACACCTTCCTTGCACCTGTGTGTGAAACCCAGTAGGTAAAAGGCTGCTGGCCTGTTTGGCCACCCAAAGCCCCTGACACCGTCGGAGCAGCTGGAGGGTGAGGGTGGGACTCCTGGCAACAAACACCCTCCTTGAAGAGAGGAGCCTTCACAGCAGCTCCCAGCAGCCCTACGCCACCCTCCTCTGCTGAGATGCCGTGGGGTCTTCCTCCTGCAAAGGCTGCCTTTGCAGTACAAGGGGTGAGGATGGGGCAGTCAGAGCCGGGAATAGGGCTCCGGATTTGTACAGCACCTGATCTAGATGTCGCTGGGTCGACAGGAGGAAGGAAAGAGGAAGGAAAGGAGGAAGGAAGGGAGGAAGAGGGAGTGAGGAAGGAGAGGAAGGAAGGAGAGGGAGGGAGGGAGGAAAGAGGAGGAAAGAAAGGAGGAAAGAAAGGAGGAAAGAAAGGAGGAAAGAAAGGAGGAAAGAAAGGAGGAAAGAAAGGAGGAAAGAAAG